CCAAAACCCTGTGGAGAAATCCCATTGCTTTTTGTCGAGGGAACCAGCAGCTTACTTCCTGGTTTTAGGCCGCGTCACTGGCTGCACCTCTCAATATGATGCCAATATAAACAAGGTCTTCTGTCGGCTCTGTACATCAATGCCGACCTATGCTGACAAGTGAAGAGTAGAAAATATAAAGGTATTGGCTTTAGGGAAATGTCCCAGCAGTTTAGGATAATGAAGGTTCTAATCTAATCTATTACATAGCCATTACATGTCTAACTCCTGATGACAGAAAGGCAGAAAGCGCATTATACAAATAATAATACTCATAATAATGGCAGACATTTTTTAACAATGACCACAATATCATTATTTTAATAAACTAAATATGAACAATTGAGGAAAATAAGGAAGAACTGATTATTCAAATGTTGTAGTACAAGTAGTAATGTAGTTAGTGCATAAATTACTATTGCAACAAATGTGTTAATTTTCTTCATTATTAGTCGATTTTTTGTTTTGGTGGACGAATGCTCCGGGCCAGTGGTTACAATGGTGGGGCCAGTGATAATTAGGGGTGCACCGAATGGGAAATTCTTGGCCGAAAACCGAATGCCGAAAGGCCGAAAATGATTAATAGAAATATATATATATATATATATATATATATATATATATATATATATATATATATATATATAATGTATACATTTTTTACCAATGTTGTTCAGCTACCTGATTATGGAAATAGACATGATTATGGCAAAACTTAACTTAAATAATAATCACTATTATGGGTCCATAAAACATTTATTCAGCACTTTTGAATGCATACAGTACATTTATATATGTCATGTATTATTGCTAAAAAACATTATATCGCAGTCTTAGTGTCGCCAACTCGTTTCTAATATGCAAAGACAACAAATGCGTCTATGATGTATTTTCGATCAGACGAGATCTCTCTCCCCCGTCTGTGTGCGAGGGGGCGGGGCAGTTTACACACACGCAGCTGCTACATGCAGCGGAGCACACTGCGGAGATGGCGGAGAGAACGCGCTCCGAGGTGTGGTTAAACTTTACCCGTCTCGATGTGGAGAATACTTGTTACCATAAGTGCAATAAGAGTTTAGCATGTAAGCACGAGCAATTTGTCTAAACATTTAGCAAAAGTGCACCGCATGCAGACGGAGGAATGTACCGAGTTCGACCGTCTTTCTAGCAGCTCTGTAGCCCCATCCACGAGTAACGTTTCCACGTCAGGTGTTATGTATGCTAGCAGCAACACACGGAGTTAACTACATTATACAAACATGGGTTAATGATTAGAGAAAACTGAGTTATTTAGTTTGTTAAAATTTCAGCTATTCTGTTTACAATCTGTCATCAGATTATTTAATACGATTTGTTAAAGGCTCAGGGCAATCTCGATGACAAAGGTCAATGTCCCCCCCCCCCCTGTGAGCCAGCCGCGAGCATGGTCGCCGCGTCTTTATTACGTCATCACAACAACACGTTAGGTTACCAACGTAAGCCTGTTCTGACATTCGGTGATATTTTTTCGGTGCTTTCGGTCTTTTTAACCATTTTCGGCCGATAATTTTCGGTGGCCGAATATTCGGTGCATCCCTAGTGATGATACAATTCCACCGGCCCGGAGGGCCAGTGGCATTTTACCCTTAATGTCTACCCCTGTATAAGTTATAAATATGTTTATTCTTTACTGTCGGGTCACTTATTACATGTTCTTCAGCGAGCTGCCTGAGCCTGATACTGACGGGCTGTCAGGAGAGGGAGAGGAAAAGAGAGCACCCCGTTTATTTTTCCCATTTTATTATCCAGAATTACTGTAAACCTTTGAATAAAGTAGTTCATCTACTATTAGTAGTTTGTTTAAATGTATTAATTATATTGTTTTTTCATTAACATAAAATAAATCTCACGTACCCCATGCAGTACTCCAACGTACCCCCATTTGAGAACCACTGGACTACTAGACCATCCTGTGATTTATAACCTCTCACGCTTCTCATGTAGCCCTCTTTTATTTTTTTGTTCTTCATTAAGTTGTCCTCAGCTATATAAAACATAAAAAATATATAATTCAAGTAAGTGTGAATAGAAATTGCCTTCTTTTTTTGTAGTTATCAGAGGTCAACTATTTATATCTGCAAATCATTTAATAATATTAGATGTATTGGGCGACGAGGTTTGACATATTGTCAAATTGCGTATGGTTTCCGAACTATGGAAATAGTTGTTCAAAGGTAGATTCCTGGCAATCTTTTTATAAATTCCACTTTTGAAATAGATAATGAATGAAATAGTGAAAAGTATCCATTTGAGGGTTAAAAAACCTATATATGTACGAATGCACTTTTCTTAGTCTGCTCACTTTCTTTTTCTCATCTTCTGTCCTGTGTAAGAAAGCTCTGCAGAACTGTCCTCTGATTTAAAACCACATCTAGCTCACCGAAAAATCTCTGTATGGTGTGAACACGAATGCTGCACGCATGATCATTGGCGAAAGGAGAAATACCAATAAAGTGTGTTAGTGTGTATGTGGAGTCAAATTACACTTCCTCTCTGCTTGTCACTGTGTTGTGCTCGAGATGTCTGAGCTGATAGGAGTGGCTGGAAAATGTGAAGTCTGCTCCCCTCTCTCTCTCTCTCTCTCTCGCTCTCTCTCTTCTCCCTCTCTCTCTCTCTCTCTCTCTCTCTCTCTTCTCGCTCTCTCTCTCGCTCTCTCTCTCTCTCGCTCTCTCTCTCGCTCTCTCTCTCTCTCTCTCTCTCTCTCTTCCTCCTCCTCCTCCCCCACCACCTCTCTAAAAATAGCTGGCAGAAAGAGAAGGCAGCGAAGTCGAGGCTCTATCTGCTGGGCTGCCAGCGGTTTCTATACTCCCAACGCAGGGAGAAACAGTCCTCTGAATAACACCTCTAATACTAATAGCCACTGCGGAAATATAACAAGCCTTTGATTAATATGTTGGGTTATGTTTATTTATCTACAAAAACATGCGCTGTGTTGCTTTTTTAAACACCCTGTAAGTTAATGGTACATTCTGTACCACCAGTTTATATATCTACTAGTGACGAATGAAAACCATAACCAAATAACTTGTTAATGTGATGTGACCTTATGATTTCCAGACAAATTGTCAAACACTTGACTAAGCCACTAACTAACCAGCAAAGAGTATACCGTGTATCTCCTCGGCCACATTGTCATTCAAATTTGGGACAATCACTGCTTGCTTGCACACAGACTGCTGTTGTAACTTCCCGTGGCATTTCAATTGGAAAAATAAAGGCAAAAACATGGAATAAGACATAAAAAAATCATGAAAAATGTATGTTATTTTCTAATACAAGTTTATGGTCATTTTGGTTGTGTGTGTATAATCATTTAGTTTGAAGGAAGAATTGTCAGCAGTAGAAGTGTTGTAGTTGAGTTATTTACACACTGCAGCCTATAGGATGGACTTCATTAATCAGCGGAACATGTCCTAGCCCCAGTACCCCATTTCCAAATGTCCACGTGTTACCGGGTTGCATTTTTCAGCTTCCAAAGTCTGTTGACCAGCTGATAGCTTTTGTTGAAAAGTCTCCTGGTGAAGTTACATTACCTCCTTCACAAAGAGGGCTATCACAGACCAGACAAGAATTAGCTTGGATATCACCACAAGATTTGTTTATCTCTAAGATTAGGGGTTAAGGAGCCTTGCATGCAGACCCATTTCGCAGCTCTGGCCAATCAGGTAGCTATTGAGATGTCAGGCGCTTGAAGGATAAGGTATTCATTTAGAAGGTCTCCACACTCTCCAGGACAAAGGACCTATATCGAAACCCAGAGAGACAGGAAGGTAAGGTGTGTTCGCGGAACAAATGGAACCGTTGTTGGCTTGAATTCGACAGATTGGCACTGATGTGTTTCCTGTTCTGAAAGTGAAGGTAGTTTGTCGTGGAAGAAGGAACTTGAGGCTCACCTGTGAGCAGGAGGTCTTAATTGTAACCAATACTGTTTTTATTGTATATGCATGACATTGTATTTAGCCTGTCCACAGCAACTTGCATACATTTACTACCATAGACCTGACTTTGAGAGCAATTTGGGGTTTAGTGTCACAATTTGGGGTTAAGGACACTTTGACTTGTTGACTACAGGAGCTAAGGATCAAATCAAAGACCCTCTAACTGGTAGACGCGCATTTACACCAATAATTTCATTAGAATCTGTCTTCTTTCTATGTAGAGTGAAAGTGTCAGCGCTAAGGGCGTCGACCAGAGGATTGGGGTCAGCGGGATAGCCACTGCTTTTAGGATCATCAGCAGGTTTTGTCTTAACCGGATTTGCCTGGAGGAGCTGAATCAACTGTGTCCCGGGATTACAGGGATGACATTGGAGGAGAGTTTAGAGCCCAGAGGCCAGAGCATTGATAGCTTCTTCAAACCAGCGTAGCACCTCGGGTCCCAGTAGAGCATCCAAACCCAAGCTTACTTTTTGGACCGCTTTCTGGACTCGTAATCCTTGCTTCTTTTGACTCTCAGTAAGGTATTGCTTCCTAAACACAGATTTTTTAAATCATATTTTTTGCCTAATCTGTTGAGAAATGTTGGTGTGGCCAGCTCTTCGCCCAAGGTGTTCGCTATTGTTTGTAAGAGAGAGGGGGAGAAAACAATTCCAACATTATCCTCAACATTGTTATCTTAAGCCTAAAGTAGCTGCACAGTGCTTGTTGCTAGGTAACTGTTTCAAGCTGGCAAGGACGAGTCTCGAGCCGTCTAGAAAGTGTTAGGCAGCGGTGATTCCCTGCGACTTTGTCTGGGCCTTACAGGATGGATTTAAGACGCACTATATGGTCCTCAAGTAGCCAGGTCCATAAATTCATCACAAATGACTAGAATGCCTTTACACTTTAACCAGAATGTTTAAATGTTTGTGATCCCGCCAACATGAAATGAAAAGGATCTGGTTATGTTTGTTGACCCTCATGTGTCTTCTTCTTCTCCTGCAGATCAGAAAGAGACTAGGCGGCGGAGCGAAGCACACCATTAGAAGAGGAAAATGAGTGAACTGGATCAGCTACGCCAGGAGGCTGAGCAGCTCAAGAACCAGATCAGAGTAAGTCCTTCAATCTCCTCAAGTCTGCCTCATATTGTTCGCTTACTATACAAATCCAGATTTACATTTGTCTGTCAATATGTTTGCCTCAGAGACTGATATTCCATCTGGTGTTGGTAAAGCAGATTTCTCATTGAAAAAACGCCCATTTTAATGCTTCTTCTAAGTTGCTTGAGATTAAGATAAAGCACAAATGAAATCAGTTAAGCCATTCAGAGCTTAGAGCTGGGCAATATGTCGATATTATATCACTCAGGATACAAATATATGTTATGGGGTTTTTCTAGAAAAATATAGTATGAGGGCGCTGATGCTAATGCCCCGCCCACTTTCCGGTGAAAATAGTGAATTAGAGCGAAGCAGAAAATAATAGTATCTTCATGTCTTAAGCTGCGGAGTCATATATTGAACCTCAAACAATAAGTCAATCCAGAGTTACGGTTTCTTTACTTCCTCTTCATAAAAAAGGGCAGTAACAGAAACATTCTAATTCAGAAATCACAGTTTCAGTGTAAGCCTGCTGCCTGCCTCTCTTCCACCGGCAGACCGACCGCACATCAATCCACTCTTTATTCAGACCTTCGTAAAAACAAAGCTGTCTCTGCCGTCTGACGGTCTATTTGACATGATTTATTTATTTTTGGAGTAATTATACCGCTTTTGAAAAGCAGATAATATAGTGTTTTCTGGCATCACCTAAACATTTTACTGGGGAAAATCTGCATTTTGATATGAGGGCGCTTGCCAAAAGTAGCGCCCCTGTTACCAGGTTTAGACAAAACCCTGTCGTGTTGGATTTCAAATATTGTTACAAATATCAATATATGAAACAAGTGTGGCCTTTTTCTCCTTCAAAGGCATTACAGTAACGTAATCTAGCTGTTATATTATTTTCCTTTACCCACTTATCCACTAGTGGTTATTTATCAACATTCTGAAATCACCAATAGTGAACCCAACAATATGGTCAAAATATGGATAATGACATGTTTGGTCAACCATTTTGTGATATTTGGTTTTATCCAGATCACCCAGCCCTATTTTAGTTTTTGTTTCCTTCATAATACATGTCTATTTTATTTCAACTTTAAAAATCATTGCTTTCAGGCTGGGCTAATGGGTAAATCAGCCACCAAAGACTAAAGTTTGATGATAATTATTACATCACATGTCACTTGTTAGACGCTTTTATCCAAAGTGACTTACATACTCAGTACTGTGGGCAATCCCCACAGGAGCTATTTGGGGTGAAGTGTCTTGTCCAGGGACACAACTACATGCTGACTGCAGTGGGGTTTGAACCTGTGACCCCCTGATCCCAACACCAAGGCTCTAGCCACTGCACGACACGCCTCCCTAATAATATTCCACCAGAAGCGACTGTACTGTATTTCACATCGCTGCTCAAGGCTGTACAGTGTTCCCATTAACATCATTGTACTGATATGCAACCTAATACAAATCTTAGTTGTTATAATGCAGAGTTAAGCAGTAATTGTTCTCACTTGTATTGCTTTGTAATAGTTTATTTCATATTTGTATTAACAAAGAGCCCATTGGCTTTTAAACGACATTATATTAATTATTTGTGTCTAAGAAGAGGTAAACCCGATCTTATGATTGTATCCCCATGACAATAGCTATAGTTTTTCTTTTTTTCTTGCTATATACTATAAATATAATTTGGTTTGTTGGTTGGTGATCAAAAGTATACAGGTTCAAAATCCAGAACCTGATTCACAGATGGTTAACTGACTGATGTTGTGTTTCAGGATGCCAGGAAAGCGTGTGCGGATGCTACCCTGTCTCAGGTAAGAAACGTGTTTTTAAACATGGTATTCACTCAACGTTACGTTCAGATATATCATAAAATGAACTAAAATACACTTTGATGTTTATTTGTGAGTGGTGAAGATTGCTTTCTGTAAAGAGCAGTAAAAATGCATTTTGGTCTCAAAGTTTTCTCATCTTATCCCTGTTTAGATCACAGCTAACATCGACCCTGTTGGCCGAATTCAGATGCGCACTAGACGGACACTGAGGGGCCATCTGGCTAAAATCTATGCCATGCACTGGGGCACTGACTCGAGGTAATCTCATTCAACTCCATTCTGTCCATTCACTAAATATTTCATCCCATTAGCCCAGCCTGAAAACAGGAAGTGGATATAAAAGCGAGCTTGACTGCCTTTGTGCTGGTTACTGCTCCTGAGGGTCTGCGTCATGTCATGAAATCCCACAATAACTCACTCTACCATCCAAAAACAAATTATTGAAGCTATCCTTTTTTTATTAACACATACTAAATGTTACAAGTAAAATATTGAAACACGTGCACAGTAGGTAATGCATTCATTTGTTCCAGCGTCTCTACTACGCAGTGTGTGTGCTGTGTTTGTGTGCATTGGGGGTGGGGTATGTGGGTAGGGGAAATACTCAAAATGGCCTCTTGTTAGAGCCGTGTTGAGACTAGATTATAAGACAGATGAAGCACTCCTATCTTCTCATAAACCCCCCCACACCTCTCTCCGCAGCGAGCAGAAAGTTAATGACTGTGGTGCCGCTGTGAGTCCGTCCACAGAGACCCACCGTCCCTCCAGTTGTACGGCAGAGAAAAAGTCCACCAGTGTGTTTACCCACTGTCAGCGCTTCCTGATTGTTTCTTTCATCTGTTAATGTTTCACTGCCCAGAGGATTTGGAGGGGGGGGGGTATTTATCAGACTACCTACGGAGATTCAGCCACCCAGAAAAGAAGGTCACATGAAAAAATGTTGGACCACAGTGTAGGCTAAGTCTGCTATTATTATCCCCGAGGAGACACTGCTTTGGCTTCAGTCTGTGGTGGGTTTTCCAACACTTTGAGAAAGAAAAGCAGCAGTTAGTTCCACTTCCCCCTCGTGAACCAGTAACATATCAAGTTAAATGTTCAGGATCTCGATAAATCATTTTGAAGGCAGAACTTTGTAGTTGTAGTATTATCATTTAATGTAACTGTCAAATTGTAGCATACATTTAGTGTAACCGCAAATAATGATTGTCCACTCTTGTGCAAACAACCGTTCAGTCAGGGCCCAACTTATGACTCAAGGCAGAATGTAATGATTCAGTGTTCATCTTTACTCAAAAATAATATATAAATAGTCCCCTTATATAATAAGGGAAGAGATTGTTTGTACCATTTTAGTTTTATTTCAATGCTCTCTAGAGAAATATGACATTGCAGTTATGGTCGATTAAAAGGGGGCTTGAATGATTACTACTGAACTTGATAACCTCGAACATCATGAACTCAGTGAGTCATAACTCATGCCACTGATATAATACTGCTCCTGTTACAGTTGCCATGTGTTTCTAGAGTGTAGCCATTTCACAATGGCCACTATTAGAGGAGACAGAAATTGTGGATCTTGTGTATTACTCATTTGCTCCGATTCCCTTCAGCCAAATAAACACTCCTTGTGTTTGCCTATGTCACTTGACAGCATCACAGTTACTCAAACAGACCTGAGGAGTGCAGAGCGACACACTGATTCAAAGATATAAAAATCATGCCTTTCCAAACATGATGTCAGCGCTCTGTTCTGACGAGAATCAGGTGTAAGTAGATTTACATTTGCGAGGCGTTTGCTATGGTTTATAATTGTGCAAACATAAAAACTAAGTTAGGGCTGCACAATGAATCGTGTTATCAAAATCCCAATATGGACAAGTATCACATTCAAATATCAGTAAGCACAACATTTGGTAAAGGCAAAACATTTCTAACGAGATTCATATATTTAAAAATGATATTTTGAATAATGTCTTGTTTCCCATAAAGTCGCCTATCCTATCGCGTTTGCAATATCAGTCAATATAACCGCAATTAGTTATTTTTGCTTAATCCTGCAACCCTGATTTAAGTTGTAAAAAATAAGCAACTATTATAACATATAATGTTTTTTTTAAAGATGTCTACAAGAAAAATAAATACACAAAAAGTACATCGATAACAATATGACAAATTACTCTAAGCAATTACTCTCTTGATCACATTGCCGGGAACTTAGATTTGAGGCCAAATCTGAGGATGCCTGGCTTTGAGATCATCGTGTGTTCATTCTAATGCTGGGAAGTTAGATAATGTGCTTCATCTGCTTTTAGACGGGAACTCCCAGCACAGGCCACTCAGTCCCCGACTTATTATCTGCCAGTGTGCACATGCAAGAGGTAGTTAAGATTTGAAAAGTCCCAGCAGGCCTTGCTGTGCTCACTCTTCTGACTGGTCCTGTGTGTATTGGGCCCGTCGCTGTGGTTACTCTTGTTGGAGTCACCCAGATAGCAGAGCACAGCCGCAGAGGCACCTGAGAACAATACAGGATTTATAACCATTCCTGCTGGAGTCACTGTGCTAACCACGGTTATGATTTTGATGGAGTTAAAACAAATAAAGTAAATAGATGGTCTTGAAAGTACTTATTGTTTTTATATACTTACAACAAACTGAATTGGTTTGCCTCACTTTTCTACATGTATAAGATCAGTACTGTTCATTTAGTTTATTACTGTGATGTTGATACAGCAAATCTTCAAAGGGGCCCTTTTATGCTGTTTGGGGTTTTCCCTCTTCGAACATGAAAGCATGGAAACATGTCACAGTAGAAGCATAGTATATATTTATGAAACCTGAAAATGAGCTTAATAGCCCCCTTTATAAATAATGCTGTTACATATGTATCTGATATACAGGTCAATTAAAGCTTTTATATGTTGTACCAAAAGTTAAAGGAACGATACCCTTGCATTGTGTGTCAATGACAGACATTTGTGTTACTGAGGTTAGCAAATGACAGGAGCATATCGAGTGTGATGAACTACCTTTTCCAAATAAGAGAAAAGAGCATTTGTTCCGTAGTTTGAGCCTTGTTTTCTTTTTCTCATCAGGCTTTTGGTCAGTGCCTCCCAGGACGGAAAACTCATTATTTGGGACAGCTACACCACAAACAAGGTAAAAACAGCTTTTTTCCAAACAATCTCAATTATGTGTAATTCTTGTGTTTTCCCATTCAACTCATACTGCGGCTCATTCAGCTTTTATGGTTGTGTAAGGACTTCAAATCAGTTGCAGTCGAAGAGTGGATGTTCTGTGATTTTGCACCACTACAAATCAACATTTTATTTCAAAACAAAACTGTATGGTTGTTGTATGACTATTACTAGATTTCCAAACAGTACAAAGACTTTGAATTTGGTAAGCTAGTCAACAAAAGTGTTTACGTCCTGCGGCTTGTTTCATTGTGCTGAGTTCCTTATAGAATTACTGACTAGAATTAAGAGGGTGCTGTGTGATGCTATTAAACACTGCGGGCAGACTCAGCCACATGCCCTCCTTTCTCCCTCCCGTCTGTCGCCACACGATATCTAATATTAAATCTTCCCCTCTCCTCCAGGTCCATGCCATCCCGCTGCGCTCCTCCTGGGTGATGACCTGCGCCTACGCCCCCTCTGGGAACTACGTCGCCTGCGGTGGCTTGGACAACATCTGCTCCATCTACAACCTGAAGACCCGCGAGGGAAATGTGCGCGTCAGCCGCGAGCTGGCCGGACACACAGGTAGGCCCGGACACAATTACCCATCATTCCCAGGGTTTTCTCCAGGCTCAGATCATATTTGGACTTAGTCATCAATATGTACTATTTAATGCTTCCCACAGAATTAGTCTCCAAGTGGAGATGGTAAAGCCTCTATGGCGCAAGTATAGTTGTCTTTAATACTTGAAGGAATCATTCATTCATCAAACAGTAGTCTCTGTTAATATTTACTAACCATAATATGCACTACTGGAAGTGATAGAGGAAGCATTCAGATCCTCAAGTAAAAGTTATAATACCACACTGTAACAATTATTATGCAAGCGATGCATTGAAGATGTAACTTTTGTAAAAAATGTAATCATTAGATTTTTTCTAAATTATCAGTGAAATGTGCAAAATAATAGAAAAGTACACAATGCAGAAACATCTAGAATAAAGATCAAATTAAAAACCCAAAGATGACTTAAATGTTAGTAGATAGTATTTTCTAATCGTTGAGGTGTTCCTGTTGAAACTGTGGGTTACTTTAGTAAAAAAACAAACGTAATATTTGACGAACCCTTTTTTAAATGTGATTTAGTGAAGAAAAAGTTAAGTATGACCCTTTTGAAATGTAGGCAAGTACCATGTAAAGAAAATACATATATATATAATAAATAAGTAAAGTACAGGTACTTCAAGTTTGCACTCATTAACAGTACTTGAGTGAATGTACCTAGTGTGCACTGCTTTATACCAAATGTCCTGTTGTCAGGACGGAGCACTTTTCTGGAGACAGTTTGTTTTTCACACAAGTTTCAATCGGTTTCTCTCCTTCTGTGAAGAAAAGATCCCGCCCAGAGCCAGTGTAGTATTGATGTCTGGCATTGTTTTGGCCTCATGTAGTGGTGTAAGCCTTGTGTTATTTATACACCAGAGAGATGCCAGTCACATGTTGTGTCTTCCTCCAGAAAGAACAGGCGCTGGTCGCGCTGTATCCCGGCTCTAACTAATGAAAGTGTTGAGCTCTTAGGCAAGGAGCATTCATCTGATCGGTGTCACATGATGCAGGAAGTGTGTCAGCATTTCAGTTCTAGTTCCCTCGCCTATAGGGAGGGGTGAACTCACTCTGCCTGCTAGTGAAGGATCAATTATGGAAGTCAGGAGCGATGTGTATATACCGTACAGCTTTTCTTTCTTTCCGGTTTATGAGATGATCAGACAAATCATCTCACACACACGTAACACTGTGCTGGGTGTGAGGAGAATATGGGAGTATCATTTCTTTCTCTGGGCAAACCGTAAGGATATGAGTGCTGTAGGAAAGACTGTCCATCAGGAGTGAGTTATTCAGTCGTGTGTCTGATTTCCTTCAGGTTACCTGTCCTGCTGTCGCTTCCTGGATGACAACCAGATCGTCACCAGCTCTGGAGACACCACCTGGTGAGTTGTGTTACTGCAGCCTAAGACTATAAACAAACTACCGCCCCAGAAATATCAACAGTCATCTGTCTAACATTAAAGGAAACCCAAAAAATGTAACATTATATATTTCAAATGTTTTTGGTTGTAAATACGTTTTCTGGAAATAAGTTTTATTTTTCTTCTATATTCTTGCACTTTTAGAAAATGATATCATGACAGGGCATTTGGGAGGAAATAAAATGCAGTTAAAATATTTTTCAAGAATTTGGAGGGAAAAAAAGGTAATGAAAAACATCTATTTAAAATGTATAATTAGGGGATAACAGATCAAACAGATGTGGCATGTTATCTTAATGGATGATCATTAGTAATACTGCCTGTTCAATACCTTGCCCATATTTCCCATTTTTCATCAAAGATATGAACTTGATTCTTAATTTTTATTTTTCCATTCCAAATATATTTACATCATGAGATCCTTATTTTTAGAATTATAGAGATTCTTAGTCGGCTTCAAAGCCCCAGGTGTTGGGCCTGCCTCGACCAGACGGACGTCAGACAGCTCACCCTCAAATATTCACCTCTTATATATTTCACAGTGTTGTTTTGCACTTTGCGACAGTTCTCTTACACTGTTCTCTCTGCTCCCTCGCAGCGCTCTGTGGGACATCGAGACCGGTCAGCAGACGACCACATTCGCCGGTCACACCGGTGATGTCATGAGTCTCTCTCTGGCGCCCGACACCAGGCTGTTTGTGTCCGGAGCCTGCGATGCCTCGGCCAAGCTCTGGGACATCAGAGAAGGAATGTGCCGACAGACCTTCACTGGCCATGAGTCGGACATCAACGCTATCTGCGTAAGGCCTCACACACACACACACACACACTCTTACATGTTATAAACTCATTGTATCAAGGTCTCGAGTCTCAAATCATTCAAGGCATCAATGCATTTGACCGAACTGCTGCATATGTATGATTCAAAACGAAAGACCAGGAGTTCATGGTTTTGCACAAAGTCATTACTATAATAGTAATCCCTACACCTGCTCTTTCAGAAACGTCCAGAAGCAATGAACATATCTAAGCTTTGGTAAACATAGTGCAGAAAAGGGTGTGGCAAGTTACTGTAACGCCACCTAAGGACAACAACAAATGTACTCACAAATAACTCTTTTTGTGCAGTTCTTCCCCAACGGCAACGCCTTTGCCACGGGTTCAGACGACGCCACCTGCCGGCTGTTTGACCTGCGTGCCGACCAGGAGCTGATGGTTTACTCACACGACAACATCATCTGCGGCATCACCTCCGTGGCGTTCTCCAAGAGCGGCCGCCTACTGCTGGCCGGCTACGACGATTTCAACTGCAACGTCTGGGACACTTTGAAGGCCGACCGCGCAGGTGAGACACTATACACACAATACATCTCTGTGAAAACTGGACTCGACACATTTTTAGCAGGAAATTGGGTTTTCTTACAGTTATTCTCTTTTTGCAAAGAGCGTTTTAGCTGCTGATGGTGAATAAGTCCAGTCTATTGACTCAAGCTATTAATGGTGTATTGTTTATTATTCTGCAGGACAATATTCAAAATGCGTCATGAAGTCCACATTACTAGGTCGGCTCCTTTACAGTAGCACTTTGAGCTGTCTGACTGACCAGCAGTAAATGTCAGAGTTCGGTGTCAGACTCAGTCAAAAATGTGGAGTGGAGGTGTTGGAAGAAACTGAGCAAATCTGTGCGGCCACTGTTCAAATCACCACAGTCCTTCCTTTAAAGCTGATCGGTGCACTTTAAAGATGTAGTACGCAGACACGGAGGAACTTAAAAACGTGAGGAATGTGGAGAACTAATGCGCAACTGACCAGAAGCTTCAGAAAGTGGGCGTGGTTTTCAGTTTATTGGTTTTGGAAAGTTAGATGTATAGGGCGAACACAAACCATCCTTCTTACCAAACAGCTTAACATGATATTCTGAAGTTTAAAGTGTATTATTACTTCTCGCTGAATAACAGAAGTTTATTGGAGGGCATGTCATTGTAAAAATGTGTTTGTGAAGTTGAATTTGATCCTTTCTACACATTTATGCCTTTTCTAAGACTTTTTTCATGATTGAGCATTAGGGCTGTCAAGTTCTTGACGTAAAAGTTTGTCCTCGGCCGCCCCGTAGTTTCAGAGCGCATCGAGTTTAAAATACCATCTACAAGCTGATGCTGACAGCCCCGCTCCTGCCGCCCGCTTGCGGCAGACCACACTTCCACGCTCACCGGCAGGCACCGACTGGCCATCGGGAGGACCGGGAGGGTGTGTGTATGTGTGGGGCGAGCGAGGCATACCTTACGTGTATTGCTGTTGTTAGCATCTGGTGCTAGCTAGCTGCGCTAACGGATATAAGAAGCTGTTTCAATGAAAACAGAGGAGCGACATTTCGCCGAGCACTTGACTTTATGCAGGAAGCCAGACAGTGGGACATTGTACGAAAAGTCAGCACACTCGGCACGGATAGCAACATGATTTCAGCGTCCAGGCAGCTCCTGTTCGAGCATATGCCTTGAGTTACACATGGCTCCAACGATCCATCACAGTGTCTCTCTCCACACACACACACACACTTTGTATTGTATTATTGAATGAGAGAGGTTCCAGGTTGAATTGAGGCGGATATTTGTAATGTTCAGAGGTTGTTGTTTAATATTCATGAGAATATTTGTCATTGTTCAAATGATAATAAACTAACATTTGCATTGAGCATACATTTCCAATTGTATATATCGTTATCTGGAAGGTTAGACAGCTGGTAAGTCTATGACCTGTCAGAAAACATCACTAAGGCAGCAGAACTTTTCCAATCTTAGTAGTGAAGAGTTTACGGAGTAGTACAGGCCAAGTCAAAAGATACAAGACCTCCTTCAGGGCCCTGAATACAGCTGGACCCCCTGAAGGAGCTGCGATAGGAGACACTGCCGTACAACTGCCTGGCAGCCTCACAAGTCACAGATTTATACTTGCTGAAAAAACTCACATGACATCTCGACTAGTGTTTGCCACAAGGCAACTCTGGGACACGGGGAAGAAAAACAGAATAAGTAGGATGGGATGGTAAGAGGATTGTTAGCTTGTTTGGCCATCACACTCATTTCTAAATTTGGAAAACAAATTTGAAGGTGATTTGTAACTCAGCAAAATGCAGAAAAAGCCTTAAACATAAAGCCAAAGCTGCACAGGAATGGCTTCACTTCCTCCGTCTGGTTCAGAATATGTGGCAGAATGTATCCGAGTTTTGAAAATGAGGAATGGGAATAAAAATGTAATGGCCTGAAATGCAAATCTGATTCAGACCTGTACAAATACTATATTATGTTTCCCTACCAAAATACTTGACCTGATATTGATCACGGTTCATTTGTAGAGATTTGTTTTCACAATAATTTGATGTGATCACATTGGCAAAAGGATGTTACACCCTTACCTGACCTTAACTTCTTGTAATGTGTCCCTACAAACACGACTTGCACCGAGGAGCAACAGGTCAGTCTTTGCTGCTGTATCAGTTATGCATCTGCCCAAAACAGTAGACTACATGAGACCTCCACACTGCAGAAGTGACACCTCGCTCTTTCCTTTAAGAAGTATTGAGCAGGAAGAGCTTTCTTTCCAAGTGTGATTTCGACATGACAGAAGAGATGCTCGTGTTTGTTTTGCCCCGTTATAGAAGGCATTTCTATACATCTCTGGAGAGCAGCAGGCGTCCCCTGCTCCAGCAGCGAGGAGCCCCTGTGGAGGCATGAATACTTTACAGATATTGACTGAGGGTGGGTCAGGGATCAGAGGAGACCCACATCTGAGCAGGCTATTTCAAATAGTCTCTTATTTGATCCATTGGAGAGAGGGATATTGATTATCTGCATTGGCCTTTTAATTAGTCTGAAAGCTCTGCCAGTGGCACCTGGAATGGTCTTTGTTGTTTGAAAAAGGGGTTCACAATTAATAGAAACTTGCAATATCCAAATCGCAGTTACTAAATTACTTATTTTCCAAACTGTGCTTATCCAGTTGTAGTCCAACATGTCTGTGTCTCAACCTCTGGTGTCTCTCTGCAGGTGTCCTGGCCGGTCATGATAACCGGGTGAGCTGCTTGGGCGTGACCGACGACGGCATGGCCGTGGCAACAGGGTCCTGGGACAGCTTCCTCAAGATCTGGAACTAGAGTCTGAAGGTGAGGGAAAAGGAGGGATGTATGAGAGCAGCTGTGGTGTAGAAACAGCATCAGCTACTGACTGCCATCTGGGGGTCGGGAATGAAGGTGCAACATGAAATATAAAGAGAAACCAAATATCACAATATCAGGGCTGGGGGATATGAACAAAATCATACATCACGACAATTTACACAGATGTTGTTGGGTGGAAAATTGGGGCTTTCACACATTTTTACACTGAGGTTTTTGATGAATTATAATCAGTAATTTAGTTATAAGGCCTAAGCAGGTAAAAACAACCTAGTGTAATTTCATTAAATCAATATAATATTGATATATTGCCCAGACCCAACCACACATGGTGCAATTGTTATTATATGTTTTTTCATCTATCTTTTTACCATGCCAGCTTTTATTTTTCGCATCAGAATTTCCTCTTAAGATCTCAGTGATTATTTTTGACCTAGGTCACAAATGATATATACATGTGAGCTGTTATATTTCGCTTTTTGTGGATATCTGTATTCGCTAATCAAACATGTTAAAGGTGACATGATGATTTTACATTTATCTGGCAGATTGTTCTGAATAATAAGATTAAATGTGTTTTTTTTATTTGTTTCCAGATGGCATCTGGACTCCAAAGTTGAGTGGAAGACCATTCCAACATCACAATGTTCAATTTTATTGCATATCCAATCTTTTCAAAAAACACCATGATACTGACTCCAAACACCCCAAAAAACTATCAAGGGCAAAAATTCTCTCTTTCTCTCCTTCTCATTTAAAAGAGCACAATTGTCTGTCAGTCATTCAGCTACACACACAAAAACAGAAAAACAAAGGTTTGAGGAATCTAGTGGTTTTCAAAACGGAGCGGAAAAATGTCCATTCCTCCATCACCATGGTCTGGTATTGTAGTAAGTGAAAATACAAACACCCCACCGCTGCCGCCGCCACCAAACAAACGTGTCCTCATCACACACAGCTCTGAGCGAAGGTTATTACACGACAGTGATCTAACTCTTAATAGCTTTTTGGCCATGTTTCTTTTATTGTTTTCATTATTCCTTTTACGTCGAAGAGAAGTAGATCAGCGAACTGTCAGGTAATGTTTAAAATGAGGATCAAAGCTTTGTTTTATTTCCTAGTCTTTACACATTTTAGAGAATGTTTTTAAGTGGAATACTAGAAAATCACGACATTTTAAATCCAGCTTTATCCCACTGGAGAACAAAGCGAGAGAATTGAGCTTCAACAGGGAGTCCTCGAGCCACTTCTGGCCCTTCTGTATATTTAGCCCCATGATACTTTTACTGTTTTGTTTTTTTCAGTGTAGTCCACAAAAATCTTTGTTTGCACAAAAATTAAACTTTGCATATATAGAATAATGTCTAAAGGAAAAAAAAGTAAACTAACCAAGCACATGCTGTTTATGATAATGAATGCTCGTTTTTAAAACGAAAAACTACAACAAAAAAAAACCATTTTAACCGTTCTTACACCTTTTTTGTCTGGCGACAGTGTAGAATAATCAGATGAAGATTAACCCATCGGATCATAATCCTCCTGCCCCTCTTTTTTTATTCCTTTTTTGTTTTTTTCTCCTTTAATTTAGTGTTTTTCTCCCGGTTTCTGTTGCTCGTGGTTGGGACCGGTGATGTGATTTGGTCGGGTTAGGGAGTACCTCCACTTTAGCCCGGTTGCAATCCGGACGTTTCTCTTTTAACAGAGGTGCCCATTCCGTGCTTGGAAATGCAGTTACTACTCTGTGAATGACATGTTGTATAAATCAATGTTTGAAAATAATGATATTGAAACTTTTTAAGTTAAAAACGAAAAAAAAAAAGATTTTGGTTGTCTGCCATGGGTGGGTTATCTCTTAGAATCGCATGCTGTAGAATTGCTTAAAAAGGTGCATATGGAATTAAGTCCTTTGATGTTTTTCTTTAAGAAAATAACCTGTTGAATATATCAATACAATGGTATTTATATTTTTCTTTTTTTCCTTTTTCTCTTTTTTTTTCTTTTTTGGCTACTCCGTGCATACATGATTCAACTAAAATGTCAAAGCTATGCACTTGAGAAGCAAACCCTGCAACATAAACGGTTACTCGGTCCATACTTGGGAGGGATTCCACAAATTAAGAAGTAACGTAAATGTTTAAAATTGTACACACATGCATACGTACATTCATTCACCTAAACATAAACAATCTCAAACGGAACAAATCAATTGTCATTCCTTCTGTAGCAAACAAAAATTCCACTTACAAAGAAAAACATTTTATAACAGGTTTTTTTCTGTCCTTTAATAAAAAATGAAAAAAAAATCTTGCAGCATCTGAATGGCAGAATTTTCTGTTGTTCCCCTTCTCCTTGTAAACAGAGACGCTCTTTCTTTAGCAGTAGTGACATTTTTTTCCATTCTGTTTTTTCTCTGCGACATTCTGTACAAAAAATGTGCTGTAATTGTGCGTTAGGCCTGGAGTTGGCAAAAAATAAAATGAAATAAAAAATATTAAAAATTAATTAAATTCCCTTTCCTTTTCTCTCTTTCTCCATCAAATAACTGTAGAGCTCTGCACCCCCACTGTTCCCTTTTCACCTTTTGTATTTAATTTTAAAGTCAGTCAGTGTACAACCGAAAGCTGGATGCAAGATAGAAACTATATTAAAATGTACTGTTATTTAAGATGTAATAAAAAGCAGTTTGAGATGACCTCCTGTGTTGAGTGTGATTCACTTAGAGCGGTTACCACTGAAGCTAGAATGTTGCAGACTGTTTGGTTTCCTTGTAATTATGTTCAAGTCAAATAAACAATTTCTTATCCACTGTTGAATCAGCCTGGCTTCTCTGTACAGTCATTTGCACAAAGTGTATTTGCTCTTTGTATACGGCAGGCTCGTCAGTCCCCTCCTGCTCCCTGGCTAAATGATGCACTGCGTGCTAATAGAACCGTCCTTAGGGCAGCAGAGCGGAAACGGTGGAAATCCAAACACTGTGACGACCTCCTAACCTATCAGGTTCTCCTCTCCTCTTTCTCTGCTTCGATCTCTCAGGCAAAAAGCACTTTCTTTCAAGATAAGATCCAATCTTCCTATTCTAATCCTAAAAAACTATTTTCCATCTTCTCCACCCTCTTGGACCCTCCAAAAGCCCCTTCCCCCTCCTCTCTTCTGTCAAGCGACTTTGTTACCCACTTTGAAAAAAAGGTTGATATTCGCTCTTCTTTTTCTGACTCACCTTTACTCACCGCTGGGTCACCAGACCCTCCTTCCACCAACACACTAACCTCCTTTTCCCCTCTCTCTCCAAGTGAGGTTCTTACCCTCATTACCGCTGCCCGCCCTACCACCTGTCCTCTGGACCCTATCCCTTCAAACCTCCTTCAGACTATCGCTCCTGATATTCTACCGTTTCTCACCCATTTCATCAACACTTCTCTAACTTCTGGTCACTTTCCAAACAGTCTCAAGGAGGCAAGAGTAAACCCTCTCCTAAAGAAACCCACTCTCAACCCGTCTGATGTTATAAACTACAGGCCTGTCTCTCTCCTCCCGTTCCTGTCTAAATCACTTGAACGCGCTGTCTTTAAACAACTCTCCTGTTATCTCAATCAGAACAACCTTCTGGATCCGCACCAGTCTGGTTTCAAGGCAGGTCACTCCACAGAAACTGCCCTCCTTGCTGTCACTGAGGAACTGCACACTGCCAAAACTGCATCCATCTCCTCTGTCATCATCCTGTTGGACCTGTCTGCTGCATTCGACACGGTGAACCATCAGATCCTCCTTCGCACTCTCCAAAAACTTGGAGTTTCAGGCTCTGCACTTTCCCTCCTCACCTCATACCTGAAAGACCGTACCTACAGGGTGACTTGGAGAGGGTCTGAGTCCGACCCTTGTCAATTAACTACAGGGGTCCCTCAGGGCTCTGTTCTTGGTCCCCTCCTCTTCTCCCTGTACACAAACTCGCTCGGATCAGTCATTAGCCCGCATGGTTTTTCATACCACTGCTACGCTGATGACACCCAATTAATTCTGTCCTTTCCCCGCTCAGAGACCCAGGTCGTCGCACGCATCTCTACTTGTCTAGCTGACATCTCTCAGTGGATGTCTGCTCATCACCTCAAGCTCAACCTTGACAAGACTCAGCTGCTCTTCCTTCCGGGAAAAGATTGTCCCACTCTTGACCTAACAATCAACATCGGCACCTCAGTTGTTTCCCCGACTCAGACTGCAAGGAATCTGGGTGTGACCCTAGATAACAACCTGTCCTTCACTGCAAACATCGCTGCTACAACCCGCTGCTGCAGATACACGCTTTACAACATCAGGAAGATACGTCCCCAGCTGACACAGAAAGCGACTCAGGTTCTGGTCCAGGCTCTCGTCATCTCATGCCTAGACTACTGCAACTCCCTCCTGGCTGGTCTACCTGCATGTGCCATCCGACCTCTGCAGCTCATCCAGAATGCAGCGGCTCGTCTGGTCTTCAACCTTCCTAAATTTTCCCACACCACTCCGCTCCTCCGCTCCCTTCACTGGCTTCCGGTAACTGCTAGAATCCACTTCAAGACACTGGTACTTGCTTACCATGCTGCGAATGGATCTGGCCCTTCGTACATCCAGGACATGGTTAAACCGTACACCCCAGCGCGTGCACTACGCTCTGCATCAGCCAAATGACTCGCTGCACCCGCACTGCGAGGGGGACCCAAGTTCCCATCGGCGAAAACACGTGGGTTTGCTGTCCTGGCTCCAGGATGGTGGAATGAGCTCCCCATTGACATCAGGACGGCAGATAGCTTGCACATCTTCCGGCGCAAACTGAAAACTCATCTCTTTCGACTCCACTTCGAGCGTTAGAACTATTAACGAAGCACTTTTATACTAATAAAGGACTGGCTTATCTAAAGCCAGTTGAGTAGCACTTGAAATGTTTGGCTCTATGAAGCCTGATGTACTTATATGATTCTGTTTTCTTCAAGTTTGTATTTTGTTGGTCAAACGCACTTATTGTAAGTCGCTTTGGATAAAAGCGTCAGCTAAATGCAATGTAATGTAATGTATACTGGTACATACAGAGTATAAAGGTTGAAATCACTTACTATAATCCTTTCTACATGTGAGAATAGAATAAAAACTGCAGACCATGGCCATCGACTTGTGATGTGTTCTAAACACTCATTGAGTGTTGAGGTCATTTTGAAAATATCTACAACCTCTCTTAAAAATACTTCCTGACCGTTGTGGCCACCTACTGGACATAAGTATAAAATACAACAAACGATACAAAATAATAACCTCACTAAGTGATTTTAAGGTAAGCAAAATAAAAAATATATTTTATCGAAAGCAATTTCTGTCTGTGATCACATGAAACTAAATAAGTTTACTGAAGTACTTTACTGGTGTACCATTTTGTATAACCTGTACTCGAGTATTTCTATTTTATGCAACAAAAATAGTAATAGAAATACATTTTACATTTACGTATTTCTAACAAAAACACAATCATTTATATGCATTCATACACTACCAAATACCTAAAGCTGGCTCCATTTTGCCAAACTACAACAATGAAATACTCGTATATAAAACAGGATTCTATTTTGTAATATAACACTTTCAAATATCTATTTGAATACTGAGTACTTTAAATTATGGTATTTCAAGTTTCATTTCAAAAGTATCATTGATAATACTTCTATACTTTTACTGAAGCAACATTTTGAATGCAGGACCAGATTTTCCTTCCATTTCTGGTTTTGATATGTCAAGCTATAAATGATATGTCAAGAATAATACTGCATGTTAAATGATGAACATCAAAAACTTTTCTTTAAATATTTACTTTAAAAGTCCAGCCTTTAATTAGACTGAACTGGGTTCTGCATGTTATGATAACATGTCTTCTATGACAGCCCAATCGTATGTGCTCAATCTGCAACAAAACATTAGGTCACATCTGTCATAAATTGAAATTCTTAATAAATGTATTATCCAGAGTTTTGGCACATGCGTAGTCTAATTGGTAAACAATGAATGAATAGATTGTGTGCAGTGATCCAGACAGTGGCCCTCTCACTCTGTGGTCTACGGATTGGGCAATCACTCCTTTACTGTAGCCTACGCCCAGGCCCGGTTCCAGAACAAAAGGACTCGGGGTGCATCTGAGATGAGAGAGGGTGCAGTGATAAAGTGCTATTTTTATAAGTGGGGAGTGGACCTAACACCCTCCAGACTTTTGAAGATTTTTGTTTAGGGTTCGTTTTTTGCCGAGGTCCTCTGGCACTTGCGGGCCGCCGAGGGGTGGCGGTGTTTGGGGCAACGAAGATGTGGGCGAGGCGGGCAGGAGGACGTTAGTGGCTGCGGGTAAGGTAATGTCCCCATGATCTGAACTGTTATTACCTGCAGTAGATGCAGTGTTACTGCTGGCGATAAGGGCTGGTTGTTTTAACCATTTTCTGATGTCCATCATTGACTGCTGTGTAAGCACCTGACATAATAACGTTACTTACAGTTTAAATTGACCAAATAAATGCAGCAGACAATTTTATTTAACCACAATTACAATTTATTTTATTTCAACTATATTCTTCTTCTTCTTATTATTATTATTACTACTATTATTATTGTTATTATATATGCAATATTTTTCACTTTTATTTTTGCAGGGGGGTGCATAACGACTCAACTGAGGGAGCAATGCACCCTTATGCACCCCCGTAGAACCGGGCCTGCCTACGCCCCACATTACTGCATATTTGGGTGACAAGAAGTTGAAGATGGTCAGAGCGCTAAAGTGGCATTACCACCCAAACAAAGAGGAAAATTGCCCCAAGGCCTTAGGTCAGATTCCTCAGAGGCATGAGGGGGCCAGCACCTCATGTTTGTCTTAGAGGAAGATAATGCTAAACATGAAAATGTTGTCTTATGGACATCACTGTCTAGATTGCATGTCGTCAATTGCCCCTTTGACTGTTGATTTTGACATGTTTAACATGTTCAAACTCACACTGAAATATACAGAAGCACACAATAAGCATTCTTGCATTTTAAATATATAATTGTAAATAGGTAGACTTGTAAATACATTAAGCATGAGAGAAACACTTATATTTGTAACCTATACATATAATAACATTGCAAATAAGGGAAACCTCTATTTGCTATAGTTTAAGTGCTTACTAGTAAAGCCTTTTAAATTCGTTTATATTATTATAATGTTAACTTATCACAGATGTTTTTGTGCCTCGGTAACAATGAAAGTATTTTTATCTGGCGCTCTACTCTGCCTGTTAAATCATCCAACATGACGTCGCCGCCGACAGGGCCTGTGATTGGTCGGTCCGTACCAGGAAGTGATGGGCTGACCGTTGACAGCTCTCTTGCACAGTAAGATTGTGTAACCTTTTGGTTATCTAATAAATAATGGCGAGGCTCTGAACCCAGTGACTCTTTGCTCCGCTGTACATTTGTGTCGTCCCCTCTAGCGCTGCTGGAGAAAGGTATTGTTGGCCTCAGAAGTGAATACGCTGTGTGTTGTGCCTAACTAGCTTAGCACGCTAACTAGCTGAAAACTAGCTTAGTTAAGAGAGGACTTGTAAGCACCATTCATCCGTTTAACACTCGTGAATGTCGGCTTATGTCCTGTTGTTGCTAACGTTGTTTATCAATTAGACTGTTGGTGAACTTATAATTTACTAGTCTTGCTTACTCAGGCAAGCGACAACGGCACTGCTCACCTCAGGTAGCCGAATTATAATTATTAAACTGTAGGTAACTAAGTTAAAGCTATGTTAGCTATTTATCCAGCTGGCTGACCAGACGAGTGCCCTGTTTCTTATCTGACTTTAGCATAATTTAAAGAGTTTGAAACATGCATTTCAGTAGAACTTTCATCTCGTTAATTTAAATTTGATATACTCAGAGAAACTTTAAACTGAGCCTGTTCTCACTTTGTGACGAAGGTATGTTAATAAACCGATATAAAAAGGCGAATTTTGCACAAGCTTTTGCGAATTGGTGGATGATTTATGTCCCATATTATAGACCAACAGTTAATTATCAGTGGATATGATATGCCATTTCCTTTTTTTTAAAGGCGTCTTCATTTTTATGAAGTTTGAATTAAATTACGCATTTTTTCCATGGAGTTTGGCCTGGGCTTGAGATGGTTAATGACCGTTTGCCTGTTTCTATTTGACTCGCGCCTGATTACTGATTGACTGGCCTGCCCGCAGATCCTTGCAGCCCGGCTGTGTGAGATGGACGGTGGAGAGGAGTTGCGAGTGGAAGCTGCCCCGTACTGCTGCTCCAGCTGTGACGGAGGGGAGGTGAATGCACGCAGCATGGCGCGGCGCAGCCACAAGAGGAAGACCCGCAGCCTGAGCACGTCCTCCGCCGGCAGCTCCACTGAACACAGCAGGTAGGAGTGGAACTGGGCCCACACATGGAGCAAGATGGAGCCCTATGTCACAATAACTAAACAACGTTGCCATCTTTTCCTACATCATGCATTACACCTGTTGGTTTTCTAGTTAAGATGCACACATAATCGACACTATTGAAATTGCAGTATGGATTAGTGCAATATCCCAATTGCAGTAAGCGCAATATTTTTTAATGGCAAAATCTTTGAAAATATCAATCTGGATTAAATGTTGTGCAGATATGTTCAGTCCTACGCACAATATTCTACAGACTTAATAAATGTAAAAAAAACCTTGTTTCTCCAAAGCCTCTTTAAAAAGATCACACTATGATTAAAAAAAATCAGGGTTAATCATTCATGCCCTCCTTGGTCACCAAAAATACATACAATTTATTGATGATTCACACTATGATACGTTTTATATATTTTTTAATAACAATCTGAACAATGTTTCATAAAATATAATTCCCACAGATCTCTTTGTCTGTACACACAAACTGGAAGATTGACAATAAAGTTGACTTTGACTTGTTTATTTATTTCTCAAATCGTGTAGCCGTCCTAGCCAGAGTAGAACAAAATTAGCGTTGACTTACAATTTATAGTCTCACAGGTAAATGTGGAATCTGGACTGCTGTCCCTGGGTTGTCTGTCCCTAGTCTTGTGTGAGCTTATCTTTTAAACAAACATATCTGTATTTTTCTGCATCAATGGTAATGTCATATATTTTCAAGCCAGTTTCCAATAATGTGTTTGCCTTGAGGAATAAACTGTCTCCTCATTAAAAGTGGTTGTAACCTCTGACTGGCATCATTTCAAACAGGTTTCAAATGTTGTTTGAATATTTAACTCAAAAGAACATTTCTAGGTGTGCCTGCTCCTGAGCATAAATAACATACTGGTTACCTGAGGTAACTGCTATGTAATATAAGTACAGCTGCTCTGGCTCAAAGCTGCTTGGGATTTTTTTTACAAACAACTCTTGTGAGATGATTTATGTTGCACCACCTTTCAGACATAAGGTCATATGAGGTCTGAAATGTGTTTTTGCTGTCGATGTTGCAAGGGCTTTATTTACGTGTTTAGGCAACAGCGGTGAGGTTTCTTACGAGCAGAAGTGAAAATGCGTTGGCCTTTGGTAACACGTCTTTAAAATGGCAATCAGGACTGTCCCAATGATATTTCATCTGTCCAGGCTGTTGAAATCAACTCCCACAGATCCAATATTATTGAGTATGAGATCCTAATATGGCAACAACACTCATATTTTTGACTTTAACAGAAAGCCGTTGTCGTGGATTTAAGTAAACAAACAACTGTTTAAGAATTGGAAGAGGAAGGTCATACATTTAAAGGGGACCTATCATGCAAAATGCACCTTTGTACGTCTTTTATACATGAATATGTGTTCCAGGGAACTCACCAAGTGTCAGAAAACACAACCCTCTCTATTTTCCTCCTTAGCCAAATCTCTAAAAAAGGGGCTGCAACGGATCTGAAAAAAATGGATCCAGATTTCAACACTTTTCTACGTCACAAAGACGTGCTCCGCTTATTGGTCAACTCTCCACCTATCAGGGGAATGAGCCACGGCCACGTGCATTGCCAAACCTCTCATTCGCATATAGGCTATCGGCAGGCTAAATCAACCCCAGTTACATCTGTGTTTTTGCCTGCTCTTGCCAGGATGTCTAAACCAGTTAAACGTTGTGCTGTTGTTGGCTGCAAGACTCGGGACAGGGGAATGCATGCAATGCCATCAGTGGAAAAAGAAAATAATCTGTGGCTAGACTTCATTTTCAAGGGACATGTGCCAGAAGACCACGGCAGATTTCTGTTGGTGTGACTGTGTTCCAAACATTTTACGACGGACATGTTTATGAACTTCTCTCAAGTCCAACACGGATATGCCTCCAAGCTAATGCTAAACCCGGGATCAATACCAACCATCCGGGACCAGGCCAGTGAGGACACATCCAATTTTGAAGCTGTAAGTTTTTATTTAGCGGTGTTTTTCCTGATAAAGCTATCTCTAGCTTGTAGCATGTAGCTTCGCCGTATCAATGTCGCCTCAAACCCAAATAGTAATGGGTTAGGTGTTTATATGTTTTTGTAACATTTTATTTTGTATGCTCCGCAGTCTTTGCTTTGTCTTTTATTTTAATTATCAGGCATTTGCTAACATGTTCAGACATACTGCCATAATGGCGATCTGTGTTAAGGCTGTAAAGCCACGCCCTAGCCGACAACACAAGTATTTATTCTCCTATTTATTAGTATTTTGTATCCTCTAAAATCATATTGAGTAAGTTATAATAACAAACGTAATCTTCTGTAGGTAAGTGCCGTTTTTTGCAGCGTTATATGTAAAAGCTTTTGTGATTGTAGTCTGTAAGAACGATCAGATATCATCGATCTGTAAGCTAAGCTACGCTACGCTAATGAGACATGCCGTTTTTTGCAGCGTTATATGTAAAAGCTTTTGTGTGTTTACTTGTTTGCGCACATGAATATAAATGGGGGTGTGTTAGGATACAACACTGTGTGTATGTATGCAAGGGGACACACACACCACGAGTAAAACGGAGCTAAAGCCCCGTTGGTCTGTTGTTGTTGACGAGGCCTTACCTCTAGCAACAGGCTAATTAGTGGCTAGCACTCATTACAGTCAGTCTACTGAGCTCAGCCCCTCTCCAACATATCATCTGTATTGAGTCAGAAACACAGCATGCACGTTACGGTTCAAAACTAACTCAGATTGGAAAAGGCTAAGCAAAGAGCTTTGCTAAATAGAGAGTTTTAGCCCCCATCTTTTGGATTTCAGACTATATTTATCCAAATAGTATTTTCTCATCCTGAATACTAAATTGAGATGATTTTGTTCTAACTATGTTTTCTTCTTTACAGGCCAGCACCTCACATACTTACTAATTAGTGACAATTTGTACATCCTTTGCTATTATTTACATTTTTTTTTCTCATGGCGGAAATGAAAGACTGTACCTGGCAGCCCTGCACTACAATGAAAACGCTGAGCGTGCAGTGCACAAGCCAACATCCACTGGAAACCCTCTGTATAAACTGCAGTTCCCAAAGGCCAGGAAGGGAGAATGCAGAGCAAAACCAGTAAAGACTGACCCCACATTCCGTAAGTGTTTAAAATATTTATTATACAACTATTTACAAATATAAAAAAAAAAAATTAGAAAGAACTTTCAGTTTTTTACATGCATATACTAATCTAAACCACATTTTTTGTTGTGCTTTTTTTTAACATTGCACAGGCTACGTGGCCAACTTGATGGACCTCATCTTCGACCAAGTCTTTGTGGACCCTGCACCATTATGAGCGACCTGACAGGGAGGAGGTCATCGCCGGTTATGCTACACGGTTCAATTTGGCTGCTGTCTGAACCCAACATCGACATTTTGCGGATCAGGAAACTCCTGCCTCCCTGAGGACAACGCAGGCCGGAATCACCACTCTGATCCTGCGTCCAAGAAAGCCCCAGCACCAGCTCACAAAGCGTCTGTAGGCTAGATACCTGTGACGCCTGAAATCATTAAAAAAAACATTTAGTGTCATTTATACAAAATACCAGTAAATTTAGTTTTTTTTTATGGGTTCAAAGAACTGTTGATTTTGACAATAAAGTTCCGAGTTGATATCAAATGTGTCGTGATTATTCATGTTTGGATGGGTAAAGAATATTCTGATTTCAAAAGCATAAGGTTGTGTGTGGACTTTTGTTGTCGTACACATGGGTGTGTTATGCCATTGCTGTGTAGTATATAATAGTACATGTACAATGACGGAATGAAAGATTGCATAAAGCCATATACACCAGTATTTATTTCCATGAACAATATTGGCATTCGTTTTACAATTTCAGTCAAAACAAACAAACCACTCACTGCTCTATTTGCCTCAACTGTAGTCCACCATGTTCAGCTCTGTAAATATTCAATGCATTCTGCAGGGAGAACACATTCAGGCACACAGGCTCCAATCCAGGATGGTCCACCACAGGTTACAGAGTCCTCAAGTTCCTGCATCCGTCTTGACACCTAGTGTGATAAACATATATTGAATGACATGTGAAAAATGTATTCTCTAAACAGACAACTTAGTGAAGCTATCAAAAATGTTACCTGTGGTATCTCCATGCAACACATTCTCCGTTCAGAAGGCATCGTGGCGCAATTTGCACATGTACACCTGTAGAAAGAAGTCAATAACTGAGCTTTTAAAAACACATGAAACTGCACACATTGCTGACAACTGAGGTGTTGTTGGAGTTATACTTTTTATCACCCTAAGTTATTGAACTTTCCAACGGTTGTTGCACGATGTTGGAAGAAAAGGACTGTAAACTATTAATAAACGCAATGAGGCCATTGTATATATGCTGAAAATATGAATGTCTCCCTTTATAAATATATATATATATGTATTGCTGTTTTTGCGTTACAAACTCTAAGTTACAAACTGTACACATTGCATTCTTGCTAATTAGCCAAAATATAAACGGAATAAGTAGCACGCATCGTAACAGAGTAAAATAAATAGGGACAACAGCTTGTCAACCATTCAGAAACGTCCTGCTGCAACCGAGATCTTTGCACCTCCACCAAAACCTCCGCTGCTTCAGGGTCAGTCTCTGGATCAAATTGATAATATGCTTGAACACATGTATTGCTCTGAGATGACATGTTTATTCCACACTCGTAATCACAGCAAGCATGGTAACGTGACTCACCGGCTCATGCCCTGCTCTTCTGCAGGGGGGCGTGGTCAGCTGCTGCTCAGAATTTTCAAAGACAGGCTTGGAATAGAGCGAAAATGAGCGAAACAAGGCATGGCTAAAAAATGATCTGTTTGGTATTTTGAAAAATAAAATGTATAAATATACCTTATATAGGTATGGTCATACACTATATCATTTAAATATAGCATGATAGGTCTCCTTTAAGTGACATGGTGATAAAAAGGGCAGTTACTCAAAAAAACTAACATTAGGTTAGTGGGTTTCCCCTTAAATTGATTTGATCTTCATCCAGCACCCTAAAACTGTGATTCTATTAGCTTTTGGTAATAATTTAATTTGGTAAAGACTTCAAGCTTGAGCAACTGCACGTTAGCTTATGTGACTAATGCCAATAGCTTCCTTTGTTATCACCTTTTTAAGGTTATTTTATATTGCAGTGTTTCAATTTAGTTCATATCCAAAAACAAAACATTTATGACGTCTTTTCCCCACTATTCATTTAACTTTTTACAGGAAAGAATGATGGCATAATAATTGGTATAAAAATAATTAAGAGCTGTAGCCTTGGTTTCTGCTAAAAATACATTTACATAATAATTGTGACATGCATCTCTACCTTATTTCTGATTTTTTTTTTTTCAGAGTTGTTTGTCCTTATTGTTTTTCAGTTAGTCAATGTGTACATGTTAATGCTGTTTTTAAAAACATCAACTCCACTGAAGGACTGACAGGTACACTGCTCTGAACTGTCTTGCCGTATGAATGTCGTTATAAGTTAAGTATTAGCAAACAACTATTCAGGTGAATATGTTGAATTGCATTGTCCCTATAAATACAATTCATAAACAGTTTCCCACTGTCATACATGATGGACATTCAGCCGCATCATCAGCCAATTGGAGACATGTCTCTGGCCTCCTGTCCAAAACAAAAAGCTGAAAGAGGATAAACTCAAATTCTTATTTATGATAATAATCCTTCATGAGCAACACCCTTCACATCATAGTCGTTTAATTTACCGTTAAAATGAGAATATTGATAAATGAGGCAGTAAACAGCAGATGGTGAGTTCTCAGATTCAGACTGCTAAGAGGATTTGTCAGCTGAGTAGAGTGAAAGACTTCTGTAGTTAGTGGCATGTAGCACTGCCTCACAGCTCCGGGTCGACCTTTCCCAGTTGATAATCATATTGTTTTAACAAAGTCTAGAAGACGGGCTGTGCTGTGCAGACATCTGAGTGTCCTATAGGCAGTGGCGGCCGGCCCATAGGGGCCCTAGGGGTGCCGCCCCACCTCTTCCCACATACAAAAAAAAATATTTAAAAAATATATATATTTCATATTTTTATTTTTAATGAACAAGGTAAATATCATACAATTGGTATCAGTAAAATGTATAATCTACAATAAAATCTCGTTTAAAATTGTGTTACGATGTCTAAAGTTACTGATAAGTCACATGTTTCCTGCCTGGCCTTGCCCATGGCATTAGTTTATCATTACCGGGCGGAGCCCCCGAGACAAACAGCACGTTACAGAAGTCTCAATAGTAAGCTGTGCCGCCGAAACATAATTTCAGCCAATCAGCGCAGTCAAATATTTTGGTCAAGAGGGCGCTCACGTTGGCGCCCACGTTGCTTACGTGCGTTGACGTGAGTTGCTTTTTAGACTCGTGACGTGAGTGACCAAGGTGACGCAGCAGTAGTTGGATGAGAATGGTGTGCTGGTCGAGTCGCTGGACCTCGGTCCGCACCCAAACAAGTAAATGCTATCTTTTGTTTCCCATGCTAGACAAAAGTTAAACAAGTACAAACCACAGACTGTCTGTGTCGTGGAGAATACAGTCGCTGGTTTATTTATGTCTGTATAGGCCGTTGTTGTGAGTGTGGACGGTCGGAGCATATATAACGTTAGCTTAGCTAAGCTCCATTCAGAAAACAAGCATTCTAAAAGGTTTTTCGCCTGCCGTCTGTCTGCAGACTTGTCAAAGCATTAATTCATGGTTTTTACTAACCGGTATCAGTATGTTGTTAATTCGGCATCATTTAGAAACGTGTATTACAATTTAATCACGGTAAAATATGTTCATCTTGTTGTAGTTGTAGCTCCCGAGCCAGCGCGTCTTGTTTGAATGATGCGAGTAAACACAGCTGGCAGCCGCGGTGAAACTCGAGCGACTAGAGCGATGCGATGGGAGCGTTTAGAGCGAAGCGAATATTCGCATCGCGTCCGGTCTGAATGCAGCATTAAAGCAAGCTCCGCGCTGCACTGGAAACGCGCCATTACATCACCAGAAATCCTAATTTAAGGGGTAATTTCTCCCAATTTTGTTTTGTTTTACTTACTATATCAACAGCCCCACCACAAATATTTTCCACCAGCCGCCACTGCCTATAGGGCTGTTACGGTGTGTCCAGACAGCAGCTTTGACCAAATCTTGAAAATCCTGGAGCTGGGCGTGTCTGACAGCTTGGGGATTTCGCGACCAACAACCAATCACATGAATATCACATGAATATCCCGCCCCCGACATACAAAGCAAAAAAACCCGGTTCTTCTACACTATTGTCAAATAGGAAGGGCTATGATGAACATTTATTTTTTTAACATTTTGAACATTTATGAGATTAATGTTTATGGTGCTATTTTATGCTACATTCCATGCTGGCTAATGATACTGTCTATGCTTGCTAGCAACGAAGTAAACTAGCAACGAAGTAAACTGGATATAAAATCCCCAAACAAGCGAAAACCTACCAGTTTCACCCACTGCCTCTGCCACCTCCCCCCATGCCTGGTTCCTCCGGTTTGTATCCCGGTAAGTAAATAGGGACTGGTCATAAAGAACCGGGTGATTTGCTACCGCAATAACTAAGTTCTCCTCCATTTTTGTGGAATATAGAAATGAACTGCGGGTCTGGCTCTCCCAGCTTGCACGCGGTTTGATTGGCTAGCACTTGAACTGTCAGATTTGCATAAACGGATCTGATTGGCTGTCGCTTCCAGCTCAGCCTCAAAAGTTGAACATTGTTCAACTTTGAAATCCTGAACATCCTGGAAATCCTGGAAATCTTCACCTCGCCCCCCCACAATGCAATTCGGCGACAAGCGAGGGAAAGTGACGTCATCCCCATTCAAAGTCAATGGGCGGAGACGCGCTGGAAGCGGTGGACAAATCGCCAAAAGCTGCTGTGTGGACGGGCCGTTACGGCCCCTACACACGGCGGCGTGCGTTGCCGCTTCAACGCTTCTGCCCATTCACTTTGAATGGGGTGACGTCACGATTCGCCGAACTGCATTGTGGGAGCAAAGCGTAACTTCTCTCGCGGTGCTCGCTGCAAAAGTAGAGCAATGTTCTACTTTTGCCGCCTCGACGGAGGCGTCAGCCAATCAAATCCCGCGTATGCAAATCTGACAGTGCAAGTGCTAGCCAATCAAACCGTGTGTATGTTGGGAGAGCCAAACCGCAGTTATTTCCCATATGTAAAAAAATGGAGGAGGAAATTATCGTGGCGTTAGGGAATCACCCGGTACTATATGACAGTCCCTCTTTACATACAGGGATACAAACCGGAGGAGCCAGGCATGGGGGGAGGTGACAGAGACAGTGGGTGAAACTGGTAGGTTTTCGCCTGTTTGGGGAGTTTATAGCCAGTGTACTTCGTTTGAATGGACAGCTAGCAAGCATAGACAGTATATTTAGCCAGCATGGATGTAGCATGAATGCTTTGCTTTATATGTCCGGGGCGGGACATTCATGTGATTGGTTGTTGGTCGCGTTGTTCGTAAAAAATCCCCAAGCTTCAGACACGCCCACCGCCAAGCGGTAACGCACGCTGCCGTGTGTAGGGGCCGTTATCCATCAGTTATGGATAAGAAAAACACTGCTCTTGTGTTTGACTTTGCAACCAGAGCTTAATCAATATTGTTGAATTCAACGGCTGCCTATCAAAACGTGTCAAATACTCTTCAAATACTTTGCTGATGCAATGTTTCACCTCTCGCTTTGCTGCGCTCAGATTCATTTGAAATAACTTGTTCTAATAGTGTTGAGTAGGCTGACGTAATGTCATGAAAATCAGGTTCAAATGATTCTCCTTCTCAATATTTTGATAAGGCAACTTATTTTACCAGGCGGCGAGATATGTATCATTGGCTTTTAGGTCCTGTGAAAAGGTCCGCAGATTATGCAATAACTGAACAAAGTTCAGTTAATCGTTAAAGGTTTTATTTAGGGCTGTCAAAAAATTAACGCCACTAATTATTTTAACGCGATTAACGCATGTGCATTTTTTGTCCTCGGCCACCCCGTAGTTTCAGAGCGCATCGAGTTTAAAATACCATCTAAGAGTATTAAAAACTTGAAAAATATCCCTCTAAGGTACATTTAGAACAGATAAAAAATGTGCGATTAATTTGCGATTAATCGTGATTAACTATGGACAATCATGCGATTAAATATTTTAATCGACTGACAGCCCTAGTTTTATTACATAATTTACTGACAATGCCGTTTGCAATGCAGCCAGAATAAATAAAAGTGTTTTGTTTTTAAAACATTTCACAATGCATTATCATTGACACAGTGACACAGAATGGGCTACATTTTTCAGCACCAAAGGTCACAGCATTTAATTGTAATTAATCCTTAAAATAGAAGGATTGGTTGAGCCACATTGTATCAAATAAGCTTGTATCTGCATGTGATGAATTGAGTCTTGGAAATCCCAAGGCTCAGACTATTTCTCTAAATGTCTCACTGCTCTATCCTCACTTCTCTTTTTTTGTCCTGAAAGGAAAGTTATTTGATTAGAAATGGTTCATAAAGAGTCATTTAGAACATGTTCCTGTTTTTAAATAGCGTGCACTTTCTTGAACAAATTGTGCCGGCTATGGTTTGCAGACTTTCCGGACAGCATTTGAGCTCTCTCCAACCTGAATGTTTGCCTTTGTCGTCCTCTCTCTCAGGAGGAATCAGTCCCTTCATGGACCCAGCCCTGTGACCACATTCGGCCCCAAGGCATGCATGCTCCAGAATCCTCACACAGTAATGTAAGTTATGCTTCTACATTATAAGTAGTGTTTGTAAGCTTGTCTTTTTATTTCCAAGTCACATGTCCTTGAACATGCATGAAACAGCCAATTGATGTTGTTTTTGTCTTGTTGTGCGACATGCTTTTTGTCACTTGTTAATTTTAAAGCCTTCTTTTGAACATTTTAACCTGAACGGTCAGCTGTCAGATGACTAACTTATTTTCTGACTTGCTCTTAAGGCCTTAACATCGCTTTTCCGTTGTTACATAAAATAGTGAAACTCAAAAAAACTTTAAAATGTGGTTTAATAGAAATACATACGAACAAACATAGTACCAATTTTCACAGCTATTGCTAGCAGATGTTCAGAAAAACAAATGCCTGTCAAATTAACGGTTTGGACATCTTGTAATTTATCTTGAACAACACGCTTCCTTTCTACTAAAAGTTAAAGGTAGGGTAGGTAAGAATGGAGAAACCAGCTCGAGTGCTCTAGAATTTGAAAGTACACAACCGGAAAAAATCTGCCCCTTCCTTCAGACTTCCTTACAGAGTCCCTCCTCCAACACACATGAACGTGCACATGACCAATGAGGGCACGAGATAAGTTTGTGCACAGATGGAAGGCTGACAGGCAGGTAGGCCATCCAGTTATTTTAGCCAGATGATTGGTCGTGCTCTTTACAGTACCACGGTTTCCACAGATGACATTTTTTTATGGATTTATTGTCAAAGCATTTAATGTACTCATTGCTATCGGGATGTTAAGAGCATTCCATGGAATATAACAAAAAGTGTTTCTGAAGTGAATTACCTACCCCACCTTTAATGTATCTAATCTTACAAACATCTTTATTAAACTTTTAATTGGCCAATATCATGTTACCTGGGTTCAAGTTTTATATGACCTGTTCTGTGCTGTACCAACACCTCAGACACCTTCTAACTACATTAACTCGTAGGTTTGCAAGTGTTGGTCATCATCATCAAACTACCATCATGCACTTTGTTTTATTTTGTCTCCAAAAGTAAACAAAAATGTGTAATTCTTCTAATGTGCCGCTGAACATCACTCTCACTGGTTGACGTATGAGAGTAAAATGTTAAAACCTTTTCACTAAGTACAACACACTAATCCATATAATCAGGGGTGCACATCACTTTTTTGCCCTGGTTCTCAAAGGAGCACTTGGAGATGTTGCTTGGTGCTCATCCTTAAAATGAAATAAATAAACCGGTCTTTATTTGTCAGACACACGGCACAGAACACACAGAGGTGAACACAGAACACACATGCAGAGGCGAACACAAGACAACATTAGCACGACCAGTAATCCTACAAGCTGTCATCACTACCCTCCTGACTGTTCTCCTCACTGTCTTCCTCTCTGTCAGACATGGTAGCTGATGATGTAGGCCTACTACTTTCTCTCTGGTTGAGTCTGCCATTAGCTGCTTGCATCCACAAGTCAACAGCTGGTTTTGGGTTGAAAGTCCAGTTTTAAAAGGATATGTTTGGTTACTGTTCTATAGTATACATTGGAATGATTTCAAACCTGTTTATCCCAATAATTATAAAGGAGTGCCTTGAAAATATCTGTTTACATAAATTGTGACCAAACCCTTTGAGACACTAAAGTGAACTATCTAAACACTCGGAGTCCTTACCTCACTGAGCTGTAGTTATCAGTCTCTCGGTCTGACTGGAGAGGACTCTCCCTCCACATTATTGTAGAAACATCTTCTTCTTATATCCGCAGCTAGCACCAGATTCTAATAACAACAGCGCCGGTACCGGTGCACCCTCCCTCTCTCCCTCGCTCACTCGCATTTTGGCTGTGAGCTGCGGGCGCCAGACAAGCCAACATCCCCCATTTTCATCACTTACAGCGCCCATCATACAGGGCAAATGAAACGTGTAACCGGGGTGAAAAGGGTGTTACATTTACTTAATTATGAATGTTGTTACATCAAGGCCGAAAATTAGGATGAGCACCAACAGTCAAAAATGTTTTTTTCCCTCCCAGAACTACCAGCGCAGCGCCTCCACAGATCTGGCGCCCTAGGCGAAAATCAACGCCAGTGCAACGGGCCGGCCCTGAGTTCATATGCAACTCGCAAATATCTTTCTCTCTCTCTTCTCTCTTCTCTCTTTTCTCTTCTCCCTTCTCTCTCCCTCTCTCTCAATGTTGGTGCGCAAATGCGTTTTTTTTCAAATGACCCGGTGCTCTTTTTTTGGCCGAGGTGCGCATGCGCACCTGCGCACCAGTTATGTGCAGCCCTGCATATAATGTTCTTCTCCTAAACTAGTTGTTTTATAAGAAGCGTTTTACCTCATGAGCCTGGTCTTCCACTTACATTTCTTAAGATCCTCTTTTGTAACTCTAGAGTTTGCGGAAAAACCTGTTGCGCACACTATGGCAACATCGCATATGTATTTTTTTTTTTGTATGCTTGTGTCGTAGCCAAAAGAGAGATATTGAAACCAAGGTTTGTGCTAACTGGCAGCCCTAATAAATATATCAATCATGTTTTATTGTTGTTTTGACATATTCTATTAATTCAATATTTTATATTTGGTATCTTTCCAAACTTTGGGTTCTGTTAATGTGAACAGAGAGGTTCAAGTGAAAATGAAAAAGCTGTAAGACAGTGAAATGTTTTTGCATTATTTTAACTCAACTCCAGCTGTCCTGACTTATCAAGGCCAAAATCCACCCACCGCCTTTCTGTAGTCAGGGTCCCATTGTCTTTCTTTTATACAGCTTTTTTCCTGTGGTTAAAAAGGCCCTTTAATGCTTCTTGGGGTTTTTCCCTTTCCCGTATTGTGTTAAATAGGTTTGTATGCATGTAAACGGTCTGCAAAGGCTAAAATTCCTTCGTTCCCTCCAGAGGGAGTTTCTCTCCCGCCAACTCCTCCATTGGACTCCTTTCTTTCCTTCTGTAACTTAGGCACATCACGACCTAACACTCACGCTTCTATTGGCTAGCACTCTGATACTTTTTACTTGATAGAGATGTCCCACCCCGTAGTCTAAGTGGTTGACCAATCACAACAGAGCCGGCCAGCTAACCAATCAGAGCAGACTGGGCTCTGGTTCCAGACAGAGGGTGAAAAGAGGTGCTGCAGCACAGGCAGTATGAGAAAAATAAAGAGCTTTTTGAACATTAAAGCATAGAGACATGTCACAGTAGAGGCACAGAACACAAAGATGAACCTGAAAATGAGCATAATAGGGTCCCTTTAAATATTGACCCAGCCTTTGTCTCTTTCTTTCCCCTCATCCCGTTTTTTACACACACACATCGAATTACAAACATTAGGTGTAAACTTGTCATTTGTGTCATCATGTCGGTCGCCTTTAATGCACTTAAAACACTTAAAGTGTGTTTTGTAATTGTTCCCAATTTTAGAGGCAACACTTTTTTGCACAACTGTATAAAAAGGCATACAACTCCTGCACTCAGAATTAATAGCCAAAACAACAAAAATGTGTCACTTTAATAAAGCCTTGTATTTCTGTTCAACAGAAGAGCAATTACTTTGGCAATGTGGTCTTACTGACTATCTTTCCCAGACCTTTTTCTTGAAATGAAGGTATTGTGAAAGAGAGTATATGCAAAGCCATGTACTTTGCGCTAAAAACATGTTCTCGATACACATCCCTGTAGCCGAATGGACGGTATCGGTATACCGTTAAGCCGCTGGACAAACGGTGCTGCTATCGGTATATGAATTACGCTACTTCCTTAGTTTAAACAATTCTGGTTGGTTGGGAACCCTCATCCCGTGTGACATATCCGGTTTGAGTACCACTCTGATTGGCCACTGTGAAAGCCACTCGTCATCTCTCCTAACAGCGCTCTTATTATTGTGAGACTCCCGGGGGTAGACGCAACATCTTGCAAGAAACAGCGTCTCAAGGCTTCTTAACATTTAACAACCTATTAATTATGCATACCCACTTAACGGGAGGAAACTCAACTAACAGACGATATGAACCATTTTTACCTACGCGGAACAGAAGTCCAACACCAAGAGTCTAAATCAACACTCAGCTAAACGGGCTAACGGGGCTAACGGCTACTTTAGCACATAACTGGCAAAAGCGATATTTTCTACGTCATGCAATATGCACAAACATATCACATGAAAGCTGAGATTCCACAGATTCCATTGGTATTTGTCTAATCACTGTACGACCAAAACTCACTGAACTAGCAGCCAGGAAAGAGCAAGAAAACAACTTCACTTTACGTAGCCATGATGATAATTATGTCTTATCTTTCCTGTTTTGTGATCAAAAGTTGTGTTCAAGGGCATAAAAACGCTGCTGAAGGTTAATCCAATGTCTCACTTTGAAATGATTACTGATAATCCATCATTACAATTATAAATAATAAACGCAATAAATGGATTATAATGGTTAGCCGACCGGAGCTTCCGGTTTAGGAGGTGCGCACGCAGCGTCTCGTTTTAACTGAATAACGGTCATGTTTACATGGATTTCTGAACTGCCCCTAATTACTGCCCCCCTTCCAGAGACACACTGTCAAACACACTCATACCTGCTTGGTATGACATTGAAAAAGTTACATTAAATAATAAATACAAATAAATTACAATAAAATGTCTGTTTAATCTTCACATCTTGTAATCATGTCTATAATTTTGAGCACCAAATTATTAAAAAGTATCATTTCATTTAATCGTTTATTTGAACCGGGACAGTGCACATCGATGAACACTTTAAAACAAAAACAATGCTTACAAGCGTAAATGAGCCGGATTTTAGCTTTGAGCTAATTTCCATCCGCAGTCCCCTCACATACAACATACAAGAACATGACATTTATATACATTGCAAAAATAAATACATGACATGCAGAAAGAGCATGAGCAGCATACAAGCATTTACCACATGGCAGTACAATGTAGCAGCTATGGTATATAAAGTACAAGATAAGATAAAAGTGCTACATAAAGTGAAAGAGGAGATACCCCTGTATAAAAGTGC